GTAAGCAAGCTAAAATGTGACAGATGATTGAGAGAAGAATTGCTGATAATATGCATTCTCATCGTGTAGTGGGTCAAACGGCAAACGCCCACATGGGAGCTTTATAGAGAGAAAACAGCCAACGAATGCTGATCATTTCGTCTGCTCAACCTAGTCGACTGAACAAACTCTTAAGTAAGAGGATGAAAGAGGTATATGAAAGAATAGCATGAATGAATTGAGCGAACCGAAAAGGAACTTACCTGTGGGCATGAAGATGAGCAAGCTCCCGGAAAGCGATCTGCAGTGATTCGCGTGAAAGTACCGAACTTATGTAGTAAATAAGCGCCACACCATTTTAGGCAGCTCCCTCCATAGCGGTAACTCCCTGCAGCAGTTTGGGAATGCTTACAAGGTAGCTATGAATCACCTTTGTTCCCTCTCGCTCATAGCTCGCTGTCGGATGTCCCCTGTGCAACTCATCTGTTGATATCATAGTTAAAATGATGCTCCAACACCTGCAATATTAATGGTTCCCCCATATTCGTGAACTACTGACTACTCCGATTTCATTTTTTTAATCACACAAAACACTGTGCCTACTGCTCCAAAGTTATTTTCATGTCACTCGACAAACCCTACAGAAAGCTTCATTTTTCCCGAAGATCTGAAAAACAAACAGGAAAGAAGTATAGGTTAAGTATGTTTCCAGAGAACAAAAGTTCGGAATTAACAAGCATTTCGAAGTACCGACAGCGTTGTGAGCTATTTAGTACGTTCGGGTATGGGCAATTTGAATGATTGCCCCAAAACGATTCTCCCCACCCGGCCTCTGTGACCTAGAAGTGAAGAAAAAGATGATCAAAGTAATATATTGGGTTTTTTGGGGCCTTTTTTCTGACCTCACCAGGCACATCGAGTAAAATAGCCTTCTCGAGCAGCTTCAGGGCTGCATGCCAGTCACGAGATGGAATGAATGAAAGTCTTAGAATGGTTCAAAGTTCCAACATATCGGGGTCCCTCCGACCTTCCAATAATGTCAGTAATATAATGCTTGCTTAGACTCTGAACGAGGTTGTAGTAACTGTAGAGGTTGACTTTTTGACAGCATAGCTCTCTGCAAAGCCTGAAGGGAGCAGTCTCCGCAGCCCTCTGAAGTGACAATTGCACACAGTGGGAATGAGAATCACACGCATACAGACTGGTCCTAGTGATATCTTTAAAGCGAGCCGACAACTTGGGACAGAATCTCATGTGCGCAAAGCCCTTGAGGCGTATTATATCCGAGTCGGCAACTCAAAAATAATTTGATGTGTGAGTGCATCACGATTATGTCAGAGCTGAGGCCTGATGCGGAGCTGGCTTTCCCAGTGACATTGAAGGGAGTCTGGTCTCATCTGTTATTGTTCTTGCTTTCGGCTAATATTGGTCTCTCAGTTATCGCAATTTCAGGTGAACGGGCCAATTTCGTGCGTGTGTGTGTCTTATCAGCGCGGTGTAGTACGGATTTCAGTGAGGTTATGGAGAAATTTCATCAAGTAGTCCCAAATCGCTTCATCCCTTTCGGGCACTGAAGAATGCGGACACGACACGCTTTCCTAATCACCTTAAGGGTTCGACCAAGTCTTATAACAATCTGAGCCCAAATAAGTGACAGAATCCTGCAGTATATAGTAGGTGGCTTACGGTTGAGGAGCCCTTGAAAGCAAGGCTAAATGATGGGAATAATTCAGTTCGAATTAGTAGGCGCAACCTTTGAAAAGAGCATGAGAGACTAGCTATTAAAGAGATACAAAACGTAGGACAGGACCATGGCAAGGTCAGCAGATTTGATGATAAACAAGTCTCAATCAGAAGAAAAGGTATTGATGGTACGGCCAGCGAGCAAAATCCATTCTAAAATTAAATTTTATTAAAGTCATCAAAAACAGATGCAGTTGAACTACTTATGAAGGAGCCATTCTGAAAACAAACGGACTCGGACAATGCACGCTTGGCACAAGAGGCGTTACTGGAACAGGTCGGGAAAGATCGAGTGATTGCAAAGAGTGGCTGAAGAAGTATACGAATG